CTCCACATCACATTGTTTGGGAGTCAGTAAACTAGTGTACTTGCTCCTTCTCATAATCCAGTTCAACAAAGACCCGTCAAGATATTGCCTTTTGTAGTTCAGTAATTATTAGAATGAAGTACCAGATGCCTTTACTTATTCTGAAAGCAATTACCTGGCCTATTTAAAAAAAAATCTCTTTCCAAACCTATTCCCGTTAGATTGTACACCAATCTATATGTTAATATTTAAAGTTCCTCATTAGTACAAAGTCATCTAACTTTTCACATTCATGAATCTCCTCAAATATCTGCAGCTCAAGTTTAGCATTATGAGCATTTTTGTTGCCTTTGTCATCGATTTTGTCATTGCTGTTGTCAAAAGGAGGCATCTATTCTTTTGGACACATTTCCCTAGTTTGTCTTATGTAAAGCCTTCTGAATCCTTCATACCTCACCATCTCAGCTATGCATTGAAAGTAAATTTATTTTTCTGTTTTTGCACCATAGAAAGAGAAAAGTTCAGGAAAATGCCCTGTCTTACCTCTGAGTTATTTGAAACACATGGAAACCCAACGCTTAACATTCCATTTCTTCATTATTCCTTAGAAATTCTCACCCATCTTTGCCAAAACCATTCAGCCTATAAACTAATGAGGGCCAAATCCTTGGATGTTAGTGGAAAAATCTCAGTCTGTCTCTCTTGCTAGTCATAGATTTATTGTACAGGACCCAATTGGTAGTAATGTTGAGGAGCTAAGTACATCTCCAGATCCCTTCCAGTAAGTACCTTTTATTTTCAAAGTTAAAGAAGGACACATTCGTTTACCTAGTTATCCACGGTCAATGCTTGGCTTCCCGGATACTATTCATTCAATTGGTCTTTGCACTGCTATCAGCATAAAGATCCACCCCAAATTTTCAGACATTTGTTTTCTGTTTGTGGATGAAAAAATTATAAACCATATAGAAAAGGACAACATCTTCTTATGCTGGTCAAGCACTTTACTAGTTCTTATCAGAACATTAGTATTGAAGTGGAAGATGAGAGATGTGGAATGGATAAATGACTCACCCAAGATTTGTCTCAGTATTTATCATGGTTCATGTTTTATGGGTGAAGAAACAGACTGAGATCAGAGTGGTTGTTAAGACATGTGCAAATAAATATAACATGAATTACTGGAAGTTGGAAAATAGAAGTTACAAAGGCCAAATTTTTTGACCTAGATTATCCACCTTGGTTGGAGCTGAGATGGGGAGAATTTGCAGGACAGGACAATGTTTTCAGAAAGATTGACTGCTATAATATATTTGAAAGCACAATGAGGTGCCCAAGAGTTAAATTAAATTAAGAATTTAGGCAAGGATTCCAAAGGATTAAATATGAGCAGTGCTGGGGTGCCTGGGTGGCTCAGTAGGTTAAAGCCTCGCCTTCGGCTCGGGTCATGATTCCAGGGTCCTGGGATCGAGCCCCACATCAGGCTCTCTGCTTGGCAGGGAGCCTGCTTCCTCCTCTCTCTCTCTCTCTCTTTCTGCCTGCCTCTCTGCCTACTTGTGATCTCTGTCAAATTAATAAAATCTTAAAAAAAAAAATATGAGCAGTGCTGTTGTTAATCTAGAAACAATGGAAAGGTAAATTAAAAATTGAGGTAGGACTCCCAAGGGTTCTTTGAAGTTGAAAAGATATATTTTGGCCAAGAATTAGCTTAAATAATTTGTTTATTTATTTATTTATTAAAAGATTTTATTTATTTATTTGACAGAGATCACAAGTAGGCAAAGGGGTAGGCAAAGAGAGAGGAGGAAGCAGGCTCCCCGCTGAAGAGAGCATGATATAGGGCCTCGATCCCAGGACCCTGAGATCATGACCTGAGCCGAAGGCAGAGGCTTTAACCCACTGAGACACCCAGGTGTCCCTAAGTAATTTATAAGAAAATAAAGTGAAAATAACATTCTAAACAAGTAACTTCTTTGGGCTAGGTACTTTACATGGTCTCATTTAATTGTCAAAATAAGCCCAGAGGTAAGAAAAATTAGTTCATTTTGTCCCCAGAAAAGCTCAAACTCAGGAAAGTAAAGTAACCAGCCTAACGCCACATAGCTCATGCTCTTTCATCCATTTCACATCATTGCTATGAATAACCAATCTGCTTAAATATTCATGGAAGTTGAACTTAACGTTGGTATCTTTATAATGTGAGTTAAGATTCAGTATTAACTTTGAATTTCAGCATTGGATCATTAATCAACCATGAATCAGTCAACAACGCTATTTGACTGTTTATGTCTAATGTGGACAAATGATGGAGATGTTGAGGAAAAAAATATCTTATTTCTGAGATAGATAGTATCTGAAAGAGAAGACAGAATATGCATAAACTTGTAGGAAAATGTATAAACCTACGGAACTATGGATACACCCAGAATCATTTTGTAGGTCAAAAATTAGAAGGACGTGACTGGTGATAGATGTTGGAGAGACCTGAGTTAAGTTAAGGTAGTCTAGATTTATTTCTGTCTACAAGTCAAATTTTATAAAATTTAAACATGATATAGGTGTTCACTATGTGCCAAACATAACTGAGCATCATTAACCCTCCCATCAACCTTGTAAAGTAAATACTAATATTATCCTGCTTTTACTGGCAATGAAATTGAAGCAGAAAAAAAGTCAAGCATCTTGGCTAGGTTTCCAGAGCTGGTAAGTAGCAGAGCTGGGTTCTGGTAAGTAGCAGAGCTGGGATTTGAACCCAAGTAGTACAAGAGTTGCTGCTCTTGCATTAACCTTATACCTTCAATGTCGATATGTCATGTAAGTAGGCAATATTTGTTTACCTTAGACGAAAAGATTATGATTCCCTACCCTTTGACATACATCTTATATGTGAACACACTTCACCACGGTTCTTGGAGGAATAAATTCATTAGTTTATTCAATGATATTTATTGAATACCTACAATGTGGCATACACTGCTTATACTGGGGACAGAAAACTGTGAACAGGACAGTCAAGGACCCTGCTTTGTCATACTCACAGTATTAGGCACTCGATACATGTTAATAATGCAGTACATGTATCTTAATTTCAAAAGTAATATATGTTTTCATTGGCTTGGATCAATTACCTACATCACTCTCCTTAATCCAAAGTTACCCTTAAAATCTACCCTTAAAAATTAAGACCATTTTTCCAAAAATCCTATTAAGTAGGAAGGTTTGGGAGATTCCTATGTACAACCAGAGGAGCAGTTTATACTCTCTTACGGTCTTAAAATGATTCTCTGAATGGGGCATTAAATCATGGACCTTTGTAATAGTTACATTTTCATAATATGGTAAGACACTCTAGTCCATTAAGGAGCCCGTTTCCTCCCACTGCCCCAAATTGCTTATTCTACATATTGTTCAGTGTCTTTTATCTAGTAAGTAGTTATTAAATGATGTTTAATAACACGTGGTGGATAAGGTATCCCTCATTAAAGGCAATTTACACTGCCATTACTTCCCCAAAATACCAGTCAGTTGCCAAATTTAAACGACCTTATTAGCCTACCAATGTTGCTTTTTCATGATGCTAAGGCCCCACCTCTAAAAACCAAGTACAACCCATTAAAATGAATGAATATTCTAGAAACCTGCTAAAGCAATCTACATTTTAATGAGACAGGAAGTGTTCTAGGAATATTTTCATCCCCTTGTCTCTAACATAGGCTTCCTTACCTGCTCTCTAGAGTGGAGGGTGTGAGCAGTGTCAGGCTCCACTAAGGTCCCCCCCACCCCCACCCCCAAGTTTCCTGCCCAAGCTTGCACGCAGGGGACCCACATGGCATCACGAAATGGGTTCTTTACATATAGGCAGCTACTTACAGAGCTATGCACACGCGTGTATGTCCATGTATGGGTGTGCTTCGTACGCATGTGGTGTGTGCCCACGCAGGTCTCCCTCTCCTTTCACCTGACCTGGGGGAATCCCGGCAATTCCCCAGAACTCGGGGTATAGCGAGATGAGGCAAACAGCCCTTTTCCCTTCCCTGGTGGCAGGCACCGCTGGGTCCCAGGAATCTGCAGTGCTTCCTCTCACAAGCAGCTAATAAAGGGAGACTGACTGAAGCTGAGCAAGCGGAGAATACATGAAGGAGGAAGGGACCGTTTGTACAAAAGATGATGCTTCTGGAGCTACTGAACTATGATTGTGTTTCTACATACAAAGCCCTAGGAAGCTAGCGGGGAGGCACAGAAACTCTGAATCTGAAATGCTCTGAGATGATTTTTCTAACAGTGCCTAGAAACCACCGCTTGGCGCGTGTCCTGCGCGGGGTTAAGGAATCCAAGGGAGCCCCGGCTGAAACTCGCAGCGCGGCATCCCGCACTTTGAGCTTCGGTGGGGTTTGCGCTCCGAAGACGCGTCCACGCACCATTTTCCCAGGCGTTGTGCGGGTTTCTTAAACAGCCCAGCTGCTGCCTCAAAAAGGAGTTTCTAGAAGCTCCTTCTCTGCTGCTTCCCCTCCCCCCACCTCCCCGCCTTTTCTCGGTTTTTACCCCCGCGAGGAGCTTCTCCAGCTCCACCGCGTCTGCCCTCTGAGGGGCACAGGTGCCGCGGTCCCGGCTACTGCCGCCCCGTCCGCCGACGCTGCCTCCTTCGGGCCGGCCCCAGGGGCTTCACCAGGCGCTGCTGCAACGCGAACGGTCTCTCGCTGGGCGCTGCGGCCGCTGCCGGTCGCCCGGGACTCCCCGCCCTCCCGCGCGACCCCGCGCCCGGGCGGGCGGCGCTTGCGGCGGGCGGGGGGTGGGGAGGGGAGCGGGGGCTCGTCTGGGGGTAGCCGCCTCCTCTGCAGCCTGCTGGCGCCTCGAAACCCGGACCTGCCTCCGCCTCTTCCTCCAGCGACTCCATCCCTCCTCCCGCGCCTCGTCGTCCCGCCGCCCCCGCCGACGCGCCCCCGGTGGCTGCCTCGGCGGACCCGGGAGGGGGCCCGCCGCGTCCGCCGCCCGCTCGGCTCGGCCCGGCCCGGGAGGCGTGCATGCCCCTGCTGCCCGCCGCGCTCACCAGCAGCATGCTCTATTTCCAGATGGTGATCATGGCAGGGACGGTGATGCTGGCGTACTACTTCGAGTACACCGACACGTTCACCGTGAACGTGCAGGGCTTCTTCTGCCACGACAGCGCCTACCGCAAGCCCTACCCGGGCCCGGAGGACAGCAGCGCCGTGCCCCCCGTGCTCCTCTACTCGCTGGCCGCCGGGGTCCCCGTGCTCGTGGTAAGTCCGGGGTGCCCGCCCTCGCGTCGGACTCCCTTCGGTCGGCCCTCACCTTCAGGGTGGAGGCCCCGCGGAGGGTCGGGCAAGGCAGCTTTGCCTTCTAAGTTCCTCCAAGTTGTGGGCAGCCCCTTCCCCAGAGGACATTCTTCTAGGGCGCGTCAGGGGTGGATGCGAAGGAAGCCCGCATCTCTCCCCACACGCCACCCCCGCACCCCCTGCTGTGCCTGCGGCGTTAGGGCGACGGGGAGGAGGATGGGAGGGATGGGGGCTGTGGGAGGTGACGGGCGGGGGTCGGGGTCGCGGAGGGGGTGAGCCCTCGGATGAATTTTTACTTCATCCGCTCCGTGGCCTTGCATCGCTGGCCGCCGGCTCTCAGATTGCGCCTGGAAGCTGAGCAGCCGCGGGCCGGCGAGGAGGAGAGGGCAGCAGTCGCTGGGGTGTGGAAGGGACTCCTGCTTCCCGAGTCTGGGCGCGTATTCCCTTTTTACCACCGCCGGCCCTTTCGGATGAAAGTGCCAGTGGGACTAAGCTGACCAGGGAACACATATCTGACAAAGAATTTTGAAAACTGCTAAATGAAGAGGCTGCAACAGCAGTGCTTGCTGAAAAGCAGGGGTTGCCCAAATGATTCATTTAAAGGCTGCTCCACTCTCTGGGCTGCTTAAGTCCTTCCCTCTGATAGCCTCGCTTAGAATGCCTTCTGGGTTTATGGACTGTGTGTGTGTGTGTGTGTGTGTACAGACACACGCACACATGTACATACGGATATACATATGTAATTATTATGATAGCAAGCATGTAATAATTGACATGTGTGAATTCGGTGCAAAGTTACTGGTAGGAAAATTGGTGGTGTTTCTTCAGAAAACATTATGATTCTTCTGTTATTGCCATAGTATTGGAGGTGTCCTTCCAGTGGTAAGGCTTCTCTCTCTTTCAACACTCAACAGATAACAAATAGGAAATTAGGAAATGAAGAGGAAAGGGAAAAGGAAGTTTTATTTCAGTGGATGAATGTGTAAATTTTAACAAATAAATGTTGAGAACACCAGTGGTATCTACTGGATTTGGATATTCATGTTTACTTTGATTTTAGGGGAAGTGATTTCATATTTTTCCAAATAATGAGGGGTTCCTAACACACATAATGGAATTCCACCAAGGAACTTTTTGATAACTTCAAAGTAACTTTGTTTATCACAGGTACCATGACAGTTGACTTTGAATTCAGTTCCAGTACACTGGTTTGAAAAGTGTTAGACCTTGCACCAGAAAATATTTTGTTTTGTTTTGTTTTTATATTGCAGTTTGCTAAAAAATTCACCTTCGTGTTTGTGTTCTCTCTCTTCCATTTGAAAAGCTGTAAGAGGAAAGAAAATTTAGTCATTTTAAGGAATTCTTTTCCCTTTCTGCAGGTGTTGGGTTTTCTGGCACATGTTTTCTGGGAGACTGAATAGCTCTGGGATTTTTTTCTTTTTTTAAAGAAAAAGGCCTGTCACTTTCAGATCACTGGTTTGGTTACACCCATAACCAATAATGTCTGTAACTTGTCCCTTGGTAATTACCATTCTGTGTCTTACTTAAATGAGGTAGCACCCTTTAGATCCTAACCATCCATTGGTGGTGGCAGGTGCCAGTTAGAGATGAGAATATATTGTCCTAATATTGATTATTATTGATTATTATAGTTGATTATTTCCCACTTAGGTGAAAGCTAGGAGGAGAAAGGGAAACAGTCGTTATTGAGTGCCTACTGTGTGCTGGACACACGAGCCATAACTGCATTTATTCTCCAGAGCATTCCCCTCCAGATAACATTTAAGGACAGTGAGGATCAGATAATAAAATGGAATCACCTGAAAATAAAAATGGTGGGTGTGGTGTTTGTATGCCCATGGGACTGATGCCAAATGCCATGCTACTTCTACTCCTAACGAAGAACGTGCTTTCTGAGAGAGGATGAGGGCATCTAGAATAAAAATTGAGGGGTTTTTAAGGGGAGGATCTGACTTGCTTTCCATGTTTTGACTTTCAGTTCTTTAGTCGCAAGAAAAGAATTGTGGGGGGGGAATCCATCTGAAGAGAAGGAAGTGTTGGATTTTAGAGGCTAACTGTGCTGCTCGTCCTTGTTTCCCCTTCTGCTTTTACAATGTGAGAGGCTGGGAACAGTAATGGTAGCCCTGCCTTTCCATTCCTCTCAAGAACACTGGCTTAGCACAGCCACTTTGCATGAAAATAATATTATTAGTAATAATAACATGAGTAATGCCCATCATTTGTTGAGTTATATACCTTACACCCATCTAACATTTGCATTATCTATGAAAGCAGTTGTTATTATTGTCACCTAATATTTGCAAAAACTGAGGTTTACAAAAATAAAGTAACTTGCCCAAGGTCTAGGGCTAAAAATGTTATACTCAGAATTTTAACCCTACTTTGTCAAATTTCCAGGCTAGAGCCTTTTCTATTATAACGTACAAATGCAGTTCACTGATAAGTCATTCTTCTAAATAAATGCCTCAGTCTCTTCCCCCCATCTCTTACATTTCTTGGACTTCAGTGATAAGGTTCTTCATGTTGTATATTTTTTAACCTTCAAAAGTCATTTTTAAGTCTTTAGATGAATCTGAAAACTAGCTCTCTTCACTACCACAAGCTGTGGTTTTGTTTCATACTTGCTAAATTCATTTATCTAAAAATCAAAAGCAATATATCTTTTCAGTGTTATCACTTTTATGTAGTGTTGATTTGGATCCCAGGTCTGGAGTCTAACAAATTTGGATTCAGATCCAAAGTACATCCTGCTGCTATGTTAACAGTTGGGAACTCTACTTGCTGTGTAACCTTGAACAACTTATTTAAGCTTGTTAAGCCTCAATTTCCCAAGTCACAGGATTTTGACTATTCAATTAGATATAATATATAAATGTCATCCTTGGCCCATAGTGGATACTCCATAAGAGATAAGAGAGCAGTAAATCATTAGCATTATTAATGAAATGATAATTCAGTAAATGTTTATTGAATTCCTGTTTTGCAAGCATGACATCAGAGTATATAAAGGAAAAAATATAAAGGAAAAAATATAAAGTTATAAAGGAAACTTCAGGAATAAACCAAATTCCTGAGGAGTTATAGCCTAATTTGGAAAATGAGGTAAATATGCCAAGGTCATAATAGAAGTGTGTGTACCGACAGACACACACACACACACACATGCCACAAAGACCTCTGGTGGTTCAGAAGGGGACAAGCTCATTTTTATTTGGAGGGGTGAAGAAAGGCTTCATGAAGAAAATGGTGGCATTTGAGATGTTACTTGAAGAAGAGGCCAGAATGGAGTTTGAATCAGGACATCATAGAAGCAGCTACATGGACAGCCACTTGGTAGCAGAAAATGCAGGCTGTATTCTTGAAACAGCAAGTGGTTTGTCTTGTTTCTAAGAGTGGAGTGTGGGGACCAAAGAGGGTATCCTGCTGAAGAAGAAGACGTGGGTCTCACTGATGAGTCCTGGAATGCCAGGCTGAAAGTTTTTCTCAGTTTCTTGGGAACTGACTAGGGACATTGTCTGGTGGGTGGTGTTTGAGGACATTTTGGGGACAGTAGCATAGGGCTCTTCTATTATTAAAATACCTATATAAGAATTTTAAACTTTTTATCCTCAAGTCTATTTTATAGTGGGAAATTGTCTATTTCCCGCTATTTCAAGTTTATTTTGTACTTTAATTGTGTTTTCAGAAAATGACCATAACTTGGGCTCATTTATAAAGACAACATGTTTTATTAGCTCCTTGAAAACATCCTGGTCAGTGTGATCTGTGTAACATTTGCCAAAGCACCACATACATAATTTATAGGTATACATTTAATTAGTGATCTTTGATTTTTCACTGATTAAAAGAACTGGTGATGACAATGTTTCCTACGCCCCAAATTTGGATACAGTGGCCATGAGTAGTTATTGTTCATTAGATCATTAAGCAACACAGGTGATTTGAAGGAGACCAGACCTAGAACATTCGTCTTCATAGAGCCAGAACCAAGGCAGAGAAAAAACAGAAGTGAGCCGGGCAGATTTGAATGTTAGGGAACATGTCTGATTCTTTATGTCTGTCTCCTCCAGAAACTCCCTCTGGACTCTGAGACTCAGGGATGCAGGTGCTGCTGCTGCTGTCCCAAAGGGGTGGGGTCACTAAATGTGGCGGAGGTAGATGATGACAGAAAGGCATCTCATGTCTAGAGCTCCATCTTGTTAGATCAATGTGCCTGAAGCTTCCCCATAGACCTCTTCTTATGTGAACCTCATCTTGAGCGCTCACTTCTGTTTCTACTCCCGGGACACGTACCTGTGGCATGGTGAGAAGCACAGACATGGGTATCAGACCACCCCAGATGCTTGTCCGCATTTCTCTCACTCATTCTACGTGGGACCTTGGGCAACATTTTCTTATTCCTAAACTGGAGATAAAAATGCCTACCTCTTGAGAGATCTTAACCTATAGGTTAAGATCACAGAATCTGGAGTCAGACTGCTTGGGTTTGAAAGCCTAGATCTGCCACTTCCCCGCTGTGGGAACCTGAGCCAGTCTCTCCACTGTAAAATGGAGAGAATAGGAGTGTTGGTCTCAAAAGGTTATTAAGAGTAGGAGATGGGTTCTTATATGTGTCAGAGGAGTGCCCAGCTAAATAGGTGTTAGCCATCATTAGTCCTCCCCAGGTTGGGATGATTAATCAAGATAATCTCTTTAGGCACCTAGCAAAGTGCATTTGTCAGTGACTTCCAGGGCTGATAAAATGTTAGAGGTGGACAGAGACCACCTAGGTCAACCCACACACCCACAAAAATTGGGTACTCTGAATGGCAAGAAGAGCAAAAATCGGACCTCTGTTATTGGCATCACGTCAATGATTCTTACCTCTGATGACGCCTCTTATTTTTTCAAGGAGGCTGACACTAGCTAGTATTTCCTATGCAGCAAATACTGTGTTAGATATA